TTTTCTGTTATTGATTTCTACGTTTATGGCTTTATGGTCAGAAAAGATTCTTTGTAATATTTCGATGCTTTGGATTCTGTTAAGGCTTGCTTTATGGCCTAATATGTGGTCTACTCTTGAGAATGTTCCATGTGCATTGGAAAAGAAAGTATAATTGGTTGCTGTTCGGCAGAGTGTTCAGTATATGTCCATGAGATCATGTTGGTTGATTGTGGCATTTATAACTTCCATGTCTTTATTGAGCTTCTTTCTGGGTTTCTGTCCTTCACCAAAAGTGATGTGTTGAAGTCTCCTACTATTATTGTGGAGCTGTCTATCTCTTTTCAATGCTATTAGAGTTTGTTTTATGTATTTTGAAGCCCTGTCATTCGGTGTGTAAATATTATAGTTATGTCCTCTTGGTGTATTGACTCTTTAGTCATTATATAGTGTCCTTCTTTATCCTTTATGGTGGATTTTTCTTTAAAATCTGTTTTGTAAGAGATTAATATTGCCCTTCCTGCCCTTTTTTGAGTGTTATTTGCTTGATATATTTTTTTCTGTCCTTTGAGTTTTAAGTTGTTTGTGTCTTTAAGTCTAAGGTGTGTCTTCTGTAGGCAGCGTATGGACGGATCGTGTTTTTTAATCCATTCTACCACTCTCTATCTATTTATTGGTGCATTTAGTCCATTTACATTCAGCGTAATTATTGATAGGTATTTATTTAGTGCTGTCATTTTGATGTCTGTGTGTTGTTGAGTTTCTTTGTTCCACTTAATTTTCTATGCTGAGTCGTTTTTATGTATTTTTTTTTCTCATCTTTTTCATTGTTGTTGATTTTGTATTTGCTGAGTCTTTATATTTTTCTTGTTTTTTATTTTAGTGTATAGGACTGTTAGTTTCCTTTGTGGTTACCTTAATATTTACCCCTGTTTTTCTAAGTTTAAAGCACTCTTTTATTTATTTGTATCACCTTAACTTCTCCATATGAAAGATCTATGACTACATCTTTTAGTCCCTCTTTTTTGTTTTAATGTTGTCTTCTTTCACATATTAATGTCTCTGTTTCCCTATTTTCAGTGTTTTAGCTTTGATTTATTTTTGTGACTTCCCTATCTGGGTTGACATCTGGTTGCTCTGTCCTGTGTTCTAGTCTTGGGTTGTTACCTGATGTTATTGATTTTCTAACTGTAGGACTCCTTTTTGTATTTCTTGTAATTTTGGTTTGGTTTTTGCAAATTCCCTAAACTTCTGTTTATCTGGAAATGTCCTAATTTCTCCATCATATTTGAGAGACACTTTTGCTGGATATATAACTCTTGGCTGGCAGTTTTTTTCCTTCAAGGCTTTGTGTATATCATCCCATTGCCTTCTTGCCTGCATGGTTTCCATTGAGGAGTCCAAGCTTAGTCTTATTGACTCGCCTTTGTAGATGACTTTTCATTTATCCTTAGCTGCTCTTAAAATTCTGTCTTTATCTTTGGTCTTAGTGACTTTTTGGGGGGATCTACCTTATGTGGGGTTCAATGAGCATCTTGGATAGATATCTTCTTGTCTTTCACAATATCAGGGAAGTTTTCTGCCAACAAATCTTCAACAATTCTCCCTGTGTTTTCTGTTATGCCCCTCTCTTTGTACTCCAATCACTGATCGGTTATTCCTCTCAGTAGACTCCCACATAATTCTTAGGGTTTCTTCATTTTTTTTAATTCTTTTATCTGACTTTTCCTCAAATAAGCTGGTATCAAGTGCTTTATCTTCAGTTTCACTAATACTGACTTCGTTGCCTCAATTCTGCTTCTATGACTTTCTGTTGAGTTGTCAAATTGTGAAATTTTATTGTTAATCTTCTAGATATCTGTTTGCTGTCTGTCTGGATTCTTGCAGCCTGTTAAAATTGTCATTGTGCTTTTCTCTAATCTTCTCAAGTTCCTGTATTGCTTTGTCTGGGTGTTCCTTGGCTTGTTCCGCATTTTGCATGATCTCCTTCTGATCTCTTGAAGAGTTCTGTATATTAATGCTTTGTATTCTATCTCTGGTCATTCCAAGAAGTTCTCTTCCTCCAGAAGATTTCTTGATTCTTTCTTTTGGGAGGTTGCTGAAGCCATCATGGTCTGCCTTTCTATGTGATTTGATATTGACTGTTGTCTCCGAAGCATCAATAAGTTATTACGTTTGTTTATTTTATGTTTGTTTACTATGTTCTAGCTTCTTGTTTTGTTTTGTTTTGATATGCCCAAATAGGCTGCTCTTGTGAGCTAGTTTGATTATTGATGTCTTTGAAGATCTAACGCATGTCACCAGGTGATCAGTTCTGTTACTAGGTATTTGAGCCCAATAATGTTAACTTTTCTTGTATAGATTCAACTCAGGTGTCCTGGTAGTTGGTCACCAAGTGTGTGGTGGAGGCTCTCACCTACAGTCCTTTACTGGCAGGGGTGATTGGTGTAGGCACAGGTATCTGGCTACAGTAGGGGGTCACATGCTGAGCAAGGTAGGGGGCTTATGGCTGCCCCTGACTGTCTGAGAGGGAAGTGTATCTGTGTTCCCTAGAGTGTGTAGGTAGGTAGGTTTTGTAGCCAGACTATGGTCACCTGATGCTGTTGGCTGTAAGGACCGGCAGGCACCACTTGTTCTTGGACCCCTGTCGCAGGTGGCTAGGTGGCATGGATGGAGCCACCAGTTGTAAGGCCCCTGATGTTGGTAGGTAAGGATTCTGCTTAACGGGCAGAGCAGTGTCAAATGTCACGAACCCGCCACTCCACCGTATAGCTGATACAATTGAAGTTAAACTTCAGGTATATACCCTGTTGTACTGTGGTAATGAGAGCCTCCTCTGTTGAAATGGGCCCACACAGGTCTATGCAAGGGTGAAAGACATTCAAAGTCCGTGCCCCCCTTATGCCCTGTGCTTAGGCAAAAGACGTGTGCCTACCCTGAGTTCCCAGCTTAGGGGAGCTGGCAGATTATTTTTTCCTGTTTGTTAATTTGTTCCCTCTCCAAGGCTTGTAGAATGCCTCAGTGTGCGTGACGGGGCCTACTCCCAGCCCAGGGGATATGGCAGTTGCTGAAGCGAGCCCGGGACCCAGTTCAGAGAGGGGTGGGGGCAGGTAAATGGGAGAGAGGTTTTTCCCAAAGGGGGTGTTTTTTGATCTGTGCAGTAGGTTTGATACACATACTTATCTTTTGCCGACTGAACGCTACTTTTCACTGGTTCTGGAGGCTTGAGTAGACCCTCCGCCACTCGGTCTCTTACAATGTGGAAAACACATCCCAAATGCCACTGCTTGCCTCACCGCGCACACCCCGATCTGGCCTGCAGGGTGCTGGTTCCCGCCGCGTCAGGTCTGGCAGTTCCTCACTGCTTCTGACCCGTCTCTCCTTCCCCCTGCCACTGAGTCTGATTCCTCAGCTTTGCCTTTGATGTTCAGGACTCCAAGATTGTCATATATAATCGGTTCACTTGGGTTTTTTTGGGTCTTTGTTATAAGAGGGACCACAGGAATCATCTGACTACTCCACCATCTTGGCCCTGCCTCTGAGATTGTCTTAATATCCTGATATTTAACAGCCTTTGACCCAGTGATTTTAGTACCCATGGATGATTCCTATCTGAATGAATTACAGCTTTGATTGTTGTAAAAGAGTTACTTTCTGTTTCTATAGTTCTTTCTATATTTATTAGTTGCCGATTTTCTGTATTTTGACATCTGTAGGATTTTATAGTAGCATTTTTTTAAATCCTGCTGTTTTTGCTGTTTCTCTCTTGAGCTTGGCAGTCTTGCCAGGAATTTTTTATTAGATTTTTTAGAGCTATCTTTTTGGCTTTATTGACTAATGATCTTTTGTTTTCTGTTTTATTTCATCCTTAATTCTTTTCTCTCCTTTTCTGGATTTAATTTGTTTTTAGTCTAACTTAAGAGGAATATTTATGTCATTGCTCTTCAGCGTTTGTACTTTTCTGTTTCGCTTTTAAAGCTTCATATTTCCCTCTAAACAAAGCTTTAACTACCTCCCACAAATTTTGACATGTGTTTTGATTGTATTTTAATTCAAAATATTTTGTGATTCCATTGTAATTTCCTATTTTGGCTCAGAGGATGCTTAGAAGTATATTGCATGATTCCGAAACGTTTGGAGATTTTCTTATCTTTTTGCTGTTGATCTCTAGCTTAATTCTTTTGCAGGTTAGAGAACATACTCAGTATAATCTGAGTTCTTTGAAATTTTTTGAGACTTGTTCTTTGAAATTTTTTGAGACTTGCTTTAAATACCCCAGCATATAGTCATTGTTGGTAAATTTCCATGTGCACATGAGAAGAAATGTATTCTCTTGTTTTGGATTCAGTATCTGTATGTAAAATTAGGGTTTCTTTGTCACTTGTGTTCAGATCTTCTAGATCTTTGTTAGTCTTTTAATCTTCCTGTTCTATTGCCGAGAAAGTTATATTAAAATTTCCCACTATGATTGTGAATTTTTCTATTTCTCCCGTTAGTTCTGTCCATTTTTGTTTTACATATCTTAAGTCTATGTAATTAGTTACACGTAAGTCTAAAGATGTTGTTTCTTTCCAGTGGATTGACTTTTATTATTATGATGATGATGATGAAATATTCTTTTTTATTGCAAGTAGTGTTCTTACCTTAAAGTCTGTTTGCTATTTTGCCACACCATCCTTCTTTTCTTTGATGTTACTGATAGCTCTTTTCATGCTTTCACTTTAACCTTTTTGTATACTTATATTTAAGCTGTCTCTCTCATAAGCAGCATAAGGTGGGGTTTTGTTTATTTTCTGTGCCAGCGTGGCAGTCTTTTATTTTTTTTAATATTTAGCCCATTTATATTAAATTATTTGTCTTGAGAATATATTAAAAGACCTGAAGACAATTATTCACGTATTTTTCAAAATAGTTTGTTTCTTTAACATAGTAGGAAAAATGAAAGTGTTAATTATATTTTTCTTTCTCTGTTTTCTTCCCCCAAACACGGTCCTTTCTAATTCATTTTGATGGACGAGAAGGCACCAGTCTGCTGAGCGGCGGTCGTGAGTCTGTACTGGTAGAGTGGCGCGATGCAACAGAGAAGAATAAAGAGTTTCTCCCCCGTTTGGGAGCAACTATTGAGCATATCTCAGTCTCACCTGCAGGGGACTTGTTCTGTACTTCTCACTCTGATAATAGTAAGTCTACATTTTTTTTTTTTTAATTGCAAACATATTATTTGTATAATGCCATTAATTAGTATCTGTAGGGAATGGAAAATAAAAAGACCTAAAACAATGTAAGAGTGGCATAGATTTAATAAGCATTTTTTTCTTCCCATTCCTTCTCTCTTCCCCACCCTTTTCTATCCCCAAATGGTATCAGAATTCAACATTTTCGGAATTGTTTTTATGAAAATTTAGGGCTAAATGCATTTAGTTATTGTTGTGTCGCTTGTATTTTTAAAATCTTAATCTGGGATGGCATGGGGAAGTGGATATTTGTGCTTTCATAAATATAATGACATTTTCAAAATATTGTCAGAGTGTTATCGCAACTGTCAGTGTGGGGTCCTGTGGTTTTTGACAGAAATGGAACCCATCTTGTGTTCCTGTGAAGCGCTTTGCTCATCTTGTTACTACTCAGCCTAGACCAGGGCTTCTTTGTGCATCCCAAAGCTTATTGCCTCCTTTCCATTCAAAAGAGAACATAACTGTGAGCAATACATTAGTGGTATGAATCATCTCAAAGTAAAATAACCATTTTTTTTACGGTATAAAAAAAAAAACAAACCCAACCCACTGCCATCTAGTTGTTTCCAACTCAGCAGCCTTATCGAATGGAGTAGAACTGCCCCATAGGGTTTCCAGGGAGCATCTGGTGGATTCAAACTGCCGACCTTTTGGTTAGCAGCCTAAGCTCTTAACCACTGAGCCACCAGGGCTCCCTTTTTATATAGTTTCTGAATTAACACTAAAATATATTCAGAGGCACAATTGATAAAACTTCAAGACCCATCAGAAAGGTCCCGCCTTACCACAACCACTGCACCTAGTAAATCGCAGAGTACATTCCTGATTCTCCAGGAACACTCCGAGTTAATTGAGCTTACTGAGTAGTTTTTTTATGGTATATTTTAGCATGACATAAATTCAAATGACTTTTTCATCTTGAGGTTCTGATCTATTTATACTTAAATATTTATTTTTTACCTGCAGAAATAATAGTCATTCACCGAAACCTTGAGGCTTCCGCAGTAATTCAAGGCCTAGTGAAAGGTATTGCAGAACCCATGGATTTGGAATCCTGTACTTTTTAACAGTGACTCCTTCTCTGATTTCAACTACCGTTTGTCACTTCTTTTGCAGACAAGAATATCTTTACCGGTTTGATAATTGATCCAAGAACTAGAGCTTTGGTTTTGAATGGAAAACCTGGCCACCTGCAGTTTTATTCTCTCCAGAGTGATAAGCAGTTATACAATGTAAGATTGTGATCAATTAACTAGACTTAAAACTAATGGAAGTTTTTTACGGCACCACTGGGTTAAGTAACTTATTTGGTAGCTTCTAAAATGAGATCCTTTGCCTATGTTTGTTAGAACGTTGTTAGTATTGTCTGTGGTTGCTTAGTGCTGTTGGTTAGAGCATAGTTCTAGTGAGGCCAAGGTTATAGATTAGGTCTACACGTAAGCCATTGTCTGTCACTTGCTCTTGCACTTACTCTTTCTATTTTATTTCGTTTTAGCCTGCACTATTACCTGTCATACGCATCTGTGTCTTTGAGTCACAAAGATAAGGATATGAGAATGTATAGATTGACAACACAAATCTCTCTGCGTTGTCCTGATATCACATAACAAAAATAGAATTTTCAGTGTAGGTTAAAGCGGAACACTTCTTATAATCTTAATAAATAACAGAATTCCCTTTTTTGCCTTTCTGTCACACAGTACCGTTACAGATTTTGGTCATAGCAACTTAAAGCAGGAAGCTTTTCTTATTGGTCTTTTATACTCACATCTAGTACAATACCAAGAAATAATAGGTACTTAATACGTGTTTAGTAAATAGTTGAGGAAATAAAAGAAACAGCTATAAATAAAATGCTGGCCTACTTAACAACACTGCTTATCTTTTTTCACTTGTTAAAAATTGTAGGTTTTATTTCTGCCCACCTTGTTTCTAGTAGTATGGGATCTAGCCTTGATATTTTACGTAAAGCTAATTGTTCTTAGAAACGAGAAAAGCATTACTGTAAGCGAAAGGTTCTATTTTATTATACTTTATATATAAATGGGTCATAGTCATTACTAATATTCAAGGTCATTGAAAAATAATCATCACCTAATTCAAACTATGTAATATGTTCCCTTTTTTAATGGCAATTTTGAGGTCATAACGAACCATTTTTTCCTTTATCTGAAAATATAGATTCTAGAAATTATTTTGGGTGTGGTTAATTATTCCTTGAATGTTTTAATGTTTATGTATTTACATTAATAAGCATTTTGTCTCTGTTTTTTTTTCAACCACTAGTTAGATATTGTACAGCAAGAATACATCAGTGATAACGATCTGATCCAAATTGAGCTAAGAAAGGCTGCATTTGGCTGCCAAGGCCACTGGCTTGCAACGGTGGAACAACGGCAAGAAAAGGAAACTGAGCTTGAATTGCAAATGAAACTGTGGGCATATAATAAGAAAACACAAGGGTAATACTATCTATGTAACTGTTCTTAATTTCGGAGTATGATATATTTGACTATTTTATGGTTTCACTTGTCGGTTTTTAGGATGTTTCATTTTGATTAATAAGTCTCAGATTTAGAGAAATTGGGAATTGTTACTCTTCTAGTAAATCCTTCAAGCTTTCTGCTCTGAGAAAACACCAGTGTCCTCCCAGTCATTGTGTCATCTTACTCACATGGAAAACCAATGCCCTCAAGGACATAATATCGAATTCCAGACAAATCCAGGGTCAGAAACCAAATGTCCTAATTCCCTTGCTCTCTGAATAACATTTCTTTAGAAAAGCAGGAGTGGTAGGCAGAAGTGTTGTCTTGTGTTTTGATTAATAACTATACATTTGATTAATAACTAACATTTGACTATAATAACCATTTATCAAGTCCTTGCTATGTGCCAAAAATGAGGCCTAGTACTTTTGTACTCATTATCTTATTAATCTTCACAAAAACACTGTAAGATAAGCACCATTATCTACATTTTACAGGTGAGGAAACAGGCCCAAAGAGATTAGGTGATTTTCTAAGGTTGCCCTCCTGTAAGTAGTGGAGCAGGGATTTGAACCTATGTCTGTCAGACTCCAGAGTCTGCGCTTTTTCTGCCCCAGTGTCCTTTTAAGAACACAGTGCTAGCGTAGATCATCTCTTATTCACAGCAGTACCCTCTGAAGCAGGAAGCAAGCTTTGAGAGGTAGTGTAAGTCCCAAGAACTCTGTATTCTGTGACCATTATAGATAGAGCACGCAATCATTTGTCACTCCATGTGATCGTAGTAAATCTTGTACTCATATGACAGTATATCATACTGACCTGGTGAAAGAATAAATTTGTTTTCTTTCCTGCTAGGTTTGTTCTTAACACAAAAGTTAGCATGCCACATGAAGACCACATCACAGCTCTCTGTTTCTGTAATGCAGAAAAATTTGAAAACCCCACCTTGGTTACAGCTAGTAAAGATGGTCACTTCAAAGTGTGGATATTAACAGATGATTCTGATATATACAGTAAGTTAATTAAATATAGTATGTCTAAATGGTGTACACTTTTAAGAAATGATGTGTTTATCTCTTTCAATAATTTAACCTATCTAGGAGGACATTTTCTACATTATTTAATTCTATAGGATATTGTCTATTTTAATACATTTAAGAGTTTACATTTTTGCATGCCTTTTTACCCCCCAAATTTATACTTCTAATGACAATCATGTGGTAATTATCCCAGTTTGTGAGGGTTTGGTAAAAGGGCTTTTGCCACTGATCCTTCACTGTTCCACTAGAGGGAGGTCAAGGTCTCCAGAAAGGGCATAAGATTCAACTCTGAAAATTTTGCTTTCTGGTCCATTTTACTAACTTGAAGACATCTGGAGAAGCAGATTTGTTTCATTTGTTTCTTAGTCCTCATTGCTTATAACTTCCCTGTAATGTTCTCTAGTATTCACAACGTTTCTGAACTTTATGGTTTACATTTTCACAGAAAAAGCTGTTGGCTGGACCTGTGACTTTGTTGGTAGCTACCACAAATACCAAGCAACTAACTGTTGTTTTTCTGAAGATGGCTCTTTACTTGCAGTTAGTTTTGAGGAAATAGTCACAATATGGGATTCAGAGACATGGGAGCTTAAGTGTACATTTTGCCAACGAGCTGGGAAAATAAGGTAGGTAAATAATTTGGGGACTGTGCAGTACTTTTTTTTTTTCTTTTTCTTTTTTTTAAAGCAGAAATCTTTCTACCTAAACTTCAGTGATAACTTATTCTTTCTCCAAAGGTAGCTATAGGTTAGTGAGGGAAGCAGCGAACCAAAATGCTGGGAAGCTAAAATTTCTGGGTACGTTAACCATGTGCCATGATTTACCCATTTCTGAAATCAGGATTAACGTTTGATTCTTGACCTACAGATTTTTTCTTTGTAATAAATACTTCTGTGGCTGTGAATGCTTTGCAACAAATGCTGCCTCATAATAGAAATTATGTATAAGCCTCATAGATCCAAATAATGCTTGTCTTACGTGTCTTCCCATAAAAACTGTGTTATGCTCTGAAGGGCAAAGGAAGATACCAGCAATATGTTGATAAGATAACTGAGCATTTGAGATCAGTTTTAATTGACCTCAGGCAGATGGCTAATGAAATTATTTCTTATTCCCCAAATGACTGATTCTGAATTTACTTAATAAAATTTTCTTCAGAATTCAAATTGCAAGTCTTCCTCTTTTGGGTAAACAAGCATCAAATCAGGTTTTTTGTCAAGTGACCTTCTTCATTTCACATACGTTTTCTCCTAAGTGGTAGTTAGTGTATTCCCCAATATATTAGAGAAAAGAATTGGGATCAAGCCTGTTTTCCTAAATGAACAAAATAGCTAAATAAACTTCTTCTTTTTTACTCCTCAGCACCTTTTTTTACAGGATAATTGTGAGCAAAAACATGTCTGTCCAAAAATCTGCGTAGCATCATAGTCTGTAATCTGGTGCAAATAAATGTGCTAAAACTGACTGTTAACTTTTTTGGGGTCTTAATCTAGGTACCTTTGTTTTGGACGATGGACGTGCTCTAAGTATCTTCTTGGTGCTACGGAAAATGACATCCTTTGCTGTTGGAATCTGCTCAGTTGTGCACGTAAGGTTTTTTACTGTAAAGTGACTTGGCAAAGCACATAGGAAGTTGCCATTGAACTTTGGTATTTTGGGACTTAATTGAATCATATATCTTCATGTTTCCACCTGGAGTATATGTAATTTTTCACATAACACATTATACCACCAAAATTTGAAGTACTGGGCCTCTACTTACAAACCGCCTAATTGTCAGTGCATGACTTTTTGTTGCCCTACATATTTGCCATCCTCTCACAGGTTACACAGCTAATAGTGGGTGCTACTTTGATAAAAATAACAATTTGGAAAATGCTTCTGCTAATTTGTTGTGCATATTAACCTGCAATATCCCTGACAGTTTAAAATTTGAATGTAGCCTGCCACAATTCTCCTAACAAAGGTGGACTTAACTGCATTTTACTCATTCCAGTATATTTGGAAGACCAGGTGGTTGCGTAGTAATGGATATTTATGAAGACTCTTTTTTATGTTCTGTACAGTGACTCTGGCTAACATTCTACCCCCGTTTAGCAGCAGTGTAATAATGCCAGACAGTAGTGTCACTGAACTAATAACCTTTTCATAGTGCATGGAAGGAATACTGAAGTTCTGCTTTATTTTTGTTTTTCCTGCCACTCACTTTAGTACAGTCTTCCACATGTAATATAATGTGTTCCCATGTGTTAGTTGTAAGTGTAAAATTCCTTTTCCTGGTAGTAATGAGGTGATTGTCCCAATAAAGATTGAGAACAGGCATTCCAAATTGTCAAAAAGTTAAGCGATCCATCAGGAACAGTATATAGCAAAAATTGAGTAAGGAAGTTTTCTCACTTTAAAAGACAAGCTTAAAAAAGCTTTTGGTAAGTCTTTCCTTAAAAGTGAATCACTCTTTTTTCCCCCCAGTGGAATGGAGTACAAAATTGAATGTTAGAGTTATGGAGCCTGATCCTAATTCAGAGAATATTGCTGCCATCTCTCAATCTTCAGTGGGTTCAGATTGTAAGTACAGACCGTAATTGATGGTGAGAGGAGATGTTACCTAAATTTTGTTTTTCACATCTTTAACATAATTTGAGTGAAACTTAGTCTTCAAATCAGATGTTCACTTGAAGCTATTTTGCCTGAGGCACTACCTTCCTTTCTTGATGTCTTGCTCCAGCTTCTTGTATGGAATGCATTCATACCTGGTTCTAGAAGAGCTGCAACACATCTCGTTTTCCTGCAGACCAATTCCAAATTAGCCTTCATATCCAAGAGAGAGTTCTCCTTTTTAAAGCATTCCCAACTCCACCAAGAAACACTGTTTCTCCTCTACACTCTTGAAGTGCTTTCTTCATATCTCTGTTCTAATACTTACCACAAAATGCTACAATAATGTTCTAGTGTCTGTCTTCTGCAGTAGGCCCTGGTCTCTAGAGTGACGATTCTTCTTTCTCTTTTTCTTCCTAGCTGTTATAGATTGAATTGTGTCCCAAAAAAAAAGTGTCAGTTTGGCTAGGCCCTGATTCCCAGTATAGTGTGGTTGACCTCCTTTTGTGATCTGATGTGATTATCCTGTGTATTGTAAATCCTAACCTCTGTGATGTTAATGAGGCAGGATTAGAGGCAGTTTTGTTAATGAGGCGGGACTCAATCTACAGGATTAGGTTGTATTTTCAGTCAGTCTCTTGAGATATAAAAGAGGGAAACAAGCAGAGAGGAGAGGGACCTCATACCACCAGGAAAGAAGTGTGGGGGCAGAGCACATCCTTTGGATCTGGGGTCCCTGCACTGAGAAGCTCCTAATCCAGGGGAAGATTGATGACAAGGATCTTCCCCCCAGAGCCGACAGAGAAAATCTCCTAGAGCTGGTGCCTGAATTTGAACTTCTGGCCACCTAAACTGTGAGAGAATAAATTTCTCTTGTTAAAGCCATCCACCTGTGGTATTTCTGTTATAGCAGCACTAGATAACTAAGACACTAGCCCTCATACCTATCCTGCTTGGCACATAGTAGGCACCCAGCAGATGTGTGTTGGATCAAAGCCTAAAACAATTAAGACCTGGGCCATTTACTCAATGGAGTAAGCCCCAGGATTAGTGAGGTCTACCTGAGACTAGAAGTAACCTTTGCAGGCAAAATATTAATGTCTGTTTGTTTTTCCCTCTAGTGTTTGTATTTAAACCTAGTGAGCCAAGGCCATTGTATATTCAAAAGAAGATCTCCAGAGAGGAAGTGCACTGGGGAGTGTTTGTTCCACGAGATGTCCCGGAATCATTCACCTCAGAAGCTTACCAGTGGCTGAACAGATCCCAGTTTTACTTCTTAACAAAATCACAGGTAGCCTAGCCCTCTTAAGGCAGTTACTTTGTATATATAATTTTTAGTTGCTTTAATATTAGAGGGTGATAGTTGTGCCATGACAGGTGGAATAATTTCATAAAAAGAGTAATTCCCAAAAGAAATAGTCAGATATGCTATGTGGCAGCATTACTGGTGTAAGTGCAGTTAGCCAGTTGCCATGAAGTTGATTCCGACTCATGGTGACTGCGTGTGTGTCAGAGTAGAACTGTGCTCAGGTTTTCAGTGGCTGATTTTTCAGAAGTAAATCACCAGGCCTTTCTTCTGAGGTGCCTCTGGGTAGACTTGAACCACTAATCTTTTGGTTAAGAGCCAGGTGTGTTAACCATTTGAACCACACAGGGACTCCACTACCACATCTTTGAGTCTCTAGCTATTGCTTACGTTAGCTCAGTGACAGCAAAAAAGCAGAAGACAACTGAAAATTGGTTCTTTTTTTTTAATTTTAGTATTTGATTTGCCATAAAGAAAATGGTGGCCTAAGTTTGATCTACTGGTTGAATTTTATTTCACTACCAGTTCCTAAATAAACGGTCTTTCAGAACAGTGTTTTTACTCTCTCAGCAGTTACTAAATATGCTTTAAATTTTTATTACTTTTCTGTGGGCAGATATATATGTATCTTCTAACTTGTAAACACCTTCTTTAGGTCTGCACGCTACAATTTACCTTTTGCATCATCATTTGATCTCTCTTTTCAGAGTTTATTGACATTCAGTGCAAAGTCTCCAGAAGAGAAACTCACACCAACAAGCAAGCAGGTATGTTGTGTTTTAGCCACTCTTGGTGCAGATTGCATTGCCTCCCTACAAAAGTAAAGTTATCTTCTAGAACTCAGCTATGAGAAAAATGCTTCACCTGGCCCTAAAATGGAGTTAAAATCCATGTGCTTGTATAAACCGACTTGCCTGTTAATTTGTATTATCAGTAATATATGCTTGTGATTTAAAGAGCCAAGTAGTTCTGCAGGGCTTTTTAGGGAAAACTATCTCCAACACTCTGCCATTATCCATAAAGATAGTCACTCTCAACTCTTAGCTGGAGTTTTTATTTACCTCCCTGTCACTAAGAAACATGTTTATATTGCTGATTCTGGATTTTTCAGGTTTAGGTGTCTGTTAACCCTCATCTATTAAAGGTGAAGTTTTAGCTCTTTTTCACACACACCCCACCACCACACCACTACCCCCCACACATACTCTCCTTGGCCCCCAGCTTTCCTAATGTCAATATTTCTCAATATGGTCAGGTCAGTACTTGTTATAACTGTATAAACACTATTCGTAGCAGAGTCACAGATTGTTTTTCCTTTTGTAATTAACATTTCGCTTTCTCTGGAGTTAATGATGGTCTTGTTTTTTCATTTACTTAGTTTTCTATGTACTTCTCACCTAATTCAACCCCAAACTCTACCCAAGTTGTGTAAATCTCCTCTCAGTATTTTCAGACACATTAGGTATCTCAAATCTTGAAAAAATATTTCCAGGAGCCCTCTGACCTGCTTCTGTCTAAACTGGTTGCTGTGTAAACCTGCTGCACAGTGGTCACCTTAGGATCAACCTGCATCGTCATTCTGAGGCTTCATTTTACTTCTGCTGTGTTAGATCTCACAGTTTTCCTCTTTTCTTCAGGTACTCCCTTGCTTTGGTGAAGCACCACATTCTCTTAGTGCATAGGAGATAAATTTAAGACCTGGCATGTTTGAAAATATTTTTATTTCACTCTCCCATTGGGTTGGTTGGTTGAGTATCGAGTTCTAGGTTGAAAATAATTTTCTCTTAGAATTTTGAAGGTATTTTCCCATTATTTTATAGCTTCCAGTGTTGCCTGGAAGCAGGGCTTCGAACCTGTTCATTCTGGTTCAAACTCCTGCTGAGAATTTGCTCCACCACCCAGGTAGACTGAATTAGAATCTACAGTTTAACAAGATCCCTTCATGATTCTTATGTTTAATAAATTTGGAGAACCACTGCTCTACTAGTGGTTCTCAGAATTGGTCCCTAACCAGCAGTATTAGCATTGCCTGGGAACTTGTTAGAAAGGCAAATTCTCAGCAGGGGTTCAGATCAGAAGGAACTAATTCTAAGCCCTGGCTTGAAGTCTGATATCATTCTTATTCTTGATCCTTTATCTGTAACCTGGCTTGTTTGTTTTCCTCTGAAAACTCAGTGAATTCATTCACCAGTTACTTTGTTGATCATCTGCTATATGTCGGGGACTATTCTAGATACATGGGTACATTAGTGAACAAAATAGCCCAGTCTCTAAATTTGTGTTTACAGCCTAGCCAGAAGATACAGACAATAAACAGTAAGCATTAGGTAAGTAAACTTTGTAGTATTTTAGAAGGTGATAAGAATTATGGGGCGTGGAGAGTAAAGGAAAAGAGGATATAGGGTACAGCTTATAATTTTAAGTAGGGTAGTCAAGGTAGGCCTACTGAAAACACTAGGACTTTTCCTTTAACTGAAATGTGGAGCCTCTTGGAGGGTTTCAAGCAGAGAACTAAGGAAGATTTTTCTTTGTTCTTGGTGTTCTGATGTTTCATAATGGTTTGCCTGGTGGATGTTTTCATCCATTGTGCTCGTCTTTCATTGGGCCCTTTCTGTCTGGGAACTCATGCCCTGGAAAAATTTCTAGAAATATTTCTTGAATTACTTCCTTAACTAAATTTCTCTGTTCTTTTTTCAGGAACTCCTATTATTTAGTGTTGAACCTCCTGAAATAAAGCTCTAATACTATTTTTTCTTGTATCTTCTGTCTTTTCTTCTCTGTTTTCTGGAAGATTTCCTCATCTTTATAATTTAATATATATTTTTTTTCCTTGCATAGTCTATTTCCATCACTTTAGTGTTTGTCTTCAGTCTGTTTTGATCTTTGTCTTCTGTTAAAGAGCTGTTCATCAGAATCTGATGATTCTTGGCTGTCTATTCTTATTTAACAGTGGACCAAAAAAGCAGTTTAGTAGTTTTTGCCTAGGTGGAACATGTCTCCTCTGGCCTCCACTATCTAGCTGAGCTGTCTTACGGAGAAAATCTCTGAGCATGATGATTCGCAGAGCTCTCTCCCATCATCTTTACCATTGTGGGTTTATGCCTTCTTCAAAAGCCTTTACTGTCATTTTTGTAGGATTTGGAAAGGCAGTGGTGGTAAATGAATATTTTGCATTTTTTCTATTAAGTGTCCACTGTTTTGCTTTTTCCATAGTAAGTAAGATGCTAGACTTTAGTTTCTTTACCTATAAAATGAAAGGGTCATACTAGTTAATTTCTAAAGTTCCTTCCATCCCTGACATTTTATGGGTCTGTAGTACATATTGTTGACTTCAAAGCAGTTCTACCTTTGTACTGAAACAATTTCCCTTTGTCTTAAATTCTTACAGCTACTAGCAGAAGAAAGTCTTCCAACAACCCCATTTTATTTCATATTGGGAAGGCACAGGCAACAGCAGGATGAAAAATTAAATGATGCATTGGGGAATGAGTTGGTACAACTACCCTTAACAGAAAACATACCTGCAATTAGTGAGGTAAGTAATTTTAGGGCAAACAATGTGAAACAGAATAAATATATCTAAGCACCTTTAAGTTAGCATTTTTATTCAGTCAGTCTGAATCAAATAACCTTTAAATACTTGTTTGTATACTGTGCAGCCTTTAATGCCCAAAGCAAAGTAGCATAATGTTAGGATTTGGGATTGTTTTGGCCTAGACCCGGGGTGAGGGGAGGGGTTGTTTTCATAAATTTAGGAAGGTGGATTTCGTTTTTCTGTGGGGAGAGCCTTTTGTGTTCGGCTCTTGGCACTTGGAATAATAGGTAGTTAGTGAGGACACTTGAAGAAACAGAGTGTGCCAAAGGATAACCTTTTTAAATAAAATCTTTTTTTCTTTTTTTATTCTAGCTTCTTCACACTCCAGCCCATGTACTGCCATCCGCTTCTTTTCTATGCTCGATGTTTATAAACTCATTGTTGCTGTCTAAGGAGACTAAGAGGTAAAACATCTTAAAATATGTTTAGATGTTCTATGTTCGGGAAAACAGGATGATTCATGAGTGTTTTTCTATTTATTAGAATATTTTTCCATTGTATTTCCTTTTATTCAAGTTTTAAAGTAGTTAAAGGATATAAAATTATTAAATCAGGTAAAATACATTGAAAATAAGTGTCAGATCTTTTATGTGTGTATGTTTTAAAGATTCATTTATATAATTCAAGCTTTTTATAAATTCATCTCTTTTATGATAACCCAGTCTGTACAGAGCAGTTAGTAACGAGATGTTTCATATACTTTGTCCAGATAACTATATTTTCACATAGGTGTCTTTGTTTATCTTTAAATAGTAAGTACTTATATTTCATTCTGTTATTGTTAAAGTGCTGAAGAAATTCCTGATGATGTAGATATGGAAGAAGAGAAAGGAAGTGATGATACAGATGAAGAAAATGATTTTACTGAAAAGGCCCAGGATACAAATGACATAGATTTGGGAGAAGATATTATACATCAGTTGTCAAAATCTGAAGAAAAAGAACTAAGGAAATTAAGGAAAGTAGACTACAGCTGGGTAACTACCCTTTAAGCGTTGATGAAGGGGGACGGTCTTGCACTTTGTTTTTTTATTGTATGTTGATACTCCAGAAACATCTATTTTAATGTTATTTCTGTTCTTAAAATAAAATATTATTAGCAAGCTTGCTTTTAAATAATTGATAATTTGAAGCTATATTTGTATCATGTTTTTTGGTTTGTTGGGTACATTCACATACACATCATCTCATTTTTATTTTGAATCACACATCAGCCTTATAAAATAGGTATTTTTTCCACAGGTGATATAGCAGTGCTGCTGTACCCTTATCTGCAATTCTGAGATATTAAAAGTTTTAAAAGATCACAAGGTTTTGTTGATGTTGTTGTTTCAACACCAGAGTTGGTTTGGTGGCCAAGTATGGCTTGAACTGAGAGGAGGTTGTTTATACACGTGTGTAAACTACTGTACTTCTATACTTGTGAATATAATGTTCACAGCAGCCTTAGGAGGTAAGAAACGGTATTACTCTCTCCATTTTATGGTTATGAATACTGAGTCAAAGTCATGTTGCTACTAGAAAAGAATCCAAGTCCCCTCTGTATTACGTTAAAGTTGTGAAGTTGCTACATCTTAGCCATTTAGCATTTTGCGTTTTCCAGTTGCTTGATACACTTCTGTAAATTTTACATTAAAAAGTTAACACACAATAAAGTGTACAAATGATAAGAACACAGCTCAATAAATGTTCACAAAATTGCCGCAAAATGCTTTTGAGTCACTCACTATCCAAGTAAGGTCTATACGTTGGGATTATTTGATACATCGCTTAAGTCTACCCCTTTTTTAAAAAAAATAACAGTTTTATTCAGATATGACTCAAGAACTATGCAGTTATGTAAGATGTACAATTCAGTGATTTTTAGTATATTTGCAGAGTGGTGCAACCATCATCGGAATCAATTTTAGAACATTTTCATTGCCCCCAAAAAGAAACTCCATACCCATTAGGATTCACTCCCTGTTTTCCCCCAAGCTCCCTAGCCCTAGATGACCACAAATATACTCTGTCTTGATAGATTTTCATATTGTAGACGTTTTATATAAATGGAATGATACAATATGTGGTCTTTTGTGACTGGCTTCTTTCACTTAATGTTTTCAAGTTTCATCCATGTAGTAACATGTATTGATATTTCATTTCTTGTTTGTTGTAGGTTCTGGGGTGAGGAGATTGACATAGTTACAAAAAACTTCACTATTATTTTGCTACATTCAGACACTGACATGGTACCTCCAATGTTAAAAAAACACCTTTTGTGATTATTCATGAAAAGTTTATACTACTAAATCAAAGTATATTAAGAAAATGTCTTTTTTAAATGTTTGTTATATAATTTGAATAATTGCTTTATGTGGATTTCAATACTTAAGAACTGATCGCTCATGTTAAAACATGACGACCTTGTTAGGGAGGATACTAAGTCCTCCACTGTAAAAGCAAATTATTTTTCCAAGGACAACTATACAGATAAAAGGGAAGTGATCACTGTATTCCTTAAAACTTTGACTTCTGTCTAGCAGATCTGTAACGCTGCACCTCAATTCCTTTCCCACAGGAAACTGTTCCCTGTCATAATGCATGGCTCCTGAAGACTACTCGCCCTGTACCTTCCTCTTTCTTTATCTCATTTATCTCTGAAGGCATGAATGGACCTGTTACACTTGCTATTCTCACTAGTATGTACATGCTGAAAGGCACAGCCATTACTTCAGAAAGTATACGGTCTCAATCTCATGGGAGATGGGCCATATGTCAGCCACATACTGTGCACTCTGCATTTTACGCACATCTTGCTTTTACTACAACTCAACACATCTAGTATTATCCCAGCTTGACACTTAAGGAAACTGGCTCCAGAGAAAGAAGTAATACCTGGATCACTGGGCTATGACAAAGTGTGACTAAGACACAAACCCTGTCTGTCAAATCCCAAATCCTATGCTCTTTATAGAACAGCACATTGTCTTCAACACTTAAAACAGCATTAGAAAAAGCGTCTGTAATTGGAGGGAAATTATAGACAGCACAGATTTAGAGCTGCTGCTCTAAATTTAGTTAGCTGCAGACAGGAGCTAACTAGGTCTGTGACCTGGCTTAAACCCTTTTATCTGCTTGAGCTTCAGCCCCCTCATCTGTAAAATGAAATGGTACCTTCCCATGCAAATGATTTTGATTGACTAGTACTTTTATGTTCCAAATACAGGAAAAGTGTGTAAGATTTCAAGAGTATGCACTAAAGTATATATGCAAAATTTTGATTAAAAGTCTAGGTTAATTGCACAACTGCATGTTAATTAGAATGGGCTCCTTGTCAATGTACTGTAACAGTGTTTCTCTTTGGGTTTTTCCTTATCAGACTAGTATCCAATATAGAAATTATAGAATATGTTGTGAATGTATTTTAAATAATTTCAGGCCTTTGTGCTTTGACTTAACAAAACCATGTGGTTAAAATTAGCTAAGATTTGTAAATGGCACTGATTTTTCTGTGAGGCTGCTTTATCTGAACTGCTACTAGAAATTGTGCTTTCCTCTGTTAGCTGTGTTTCTTGATAGTCATGAAAGAGGCAAAATGATCCTACAACACAAGACTCAAGATCCTGGATCACCACACAATCCTAACTGAAGTGGTAAAAGATAACACCCAGGAAGGATTTAGGATCACAAGTAGATTATTTATTGTTGATGAATAGGTCTGAGATTAAAGAGAAATAGAAATGGAAGCAACTAGGATTACATAGTAGTATGCTATGGGAATGGAATAGAATCAGCCAGAGATGCCATCAGTGGTTAAATTGCTCAAATTGCTTTTGTGTCTCCTTCATGTAAATTCAGTTAAGACATAATGACCCTTCCTAGCTCTGATACTCTGTGACCACAAAACTAAGATGCCAGAATGGTATAGCCCCCGCTCCCACCCCATACTCCAAAACACCAAGAAACTGGTCTTACAAATACTAAATTTGTGATACATGTGTATAAATATGTAAAGGTACAGTTATCTTAATTTCCCACCTTCAGGCACAGCATACCTCTGGCTTAGAAACTCCTTGGGAGATCAGAGCACTTAGTCCACAAAATGAAATAATCAGACATGAAAGTGCACTAGTTCCTCCCATTGTTTTGTTGAGTTTTGGTAATCTGCATTACTCAGTGGCTGCCTACTTTAGCGGAAGAGTGAATATAAGGGCTCTGAAAACAATCACTTTAAATGCAAATATTGATATACTCTAGCTCACATAGGAAGGTAAATTTAAACTTCTTGTTCCCTCAGAAATGCGTATCTGCAGTTGTGAGATTCAAGTCCGCTAGCCCAGCTTTGTTTGGTGAGCGATACCACATGCCGGAAAGAGCACCAGTCAAGGAGTTAGGAGACCAGGGTCCTAGTTCCAGCTCTGCGTCTTAACTAGGTTTATGCTTGAATTAAGTCATTTGAGGCCTTAATTTTTTACGTCTGAAATAAGGCTACATTTCATTAGATGATCCTCTGGGACCCTTTCTTGGCTCTCAAAATGCGATTCTCCAAAGTGCCAGAACTCTCCAAAAGATGTGTGGCCTTCCTGCTTAATTATATAGCCACCTTTGGTGCTAGATAAAACAGGAAACAAACAGCTTAAAAGACTGCATTTTTAAATAAGAGAAGATCCTATACCTTCTCGGGCTCTTTGGCCTGAATCTGCAGATTCTACTGCAGAGATCAGGATGGGAGCAGATCTCATCAGCAGCATCCCTAGAAACTATTGGCAAAAGTAAAAACTGGAATGGGAGTAGGCAGGTTATATGACACACAAGAGGCACTCGTTTATTGAATGAAGGGGGTCACAGAATGAAGACAGGAGAAGATAGGATTATGGCTTTTACTTAACAGTCAAGGTGAGTAAAAGACCAAAGCATGCCTGTATAGTCAAATCTTTTTCCCAGGCTCCAAGTACTTCCATAAACACTGAGGAGTTATATTCTGCTATATAAGCCCCTCAGCCCATGAATTTTAGACAGTAAAAGGAGCAAAGGAAAGTAGAAGACAGGTTTTCCAGTCTTAGATTACAGTGCCTCACTGGTATTTAAGGCTGTTCTCCACTCCACACATCCCTCAGGACCAGTGGGGGAAGTTGGCTTGCTTTTTGTTCCACATTGAGTCGTGTAAACAATTGCCAGTTCATCCGTATGTAAGAACACATCCTTTGTGTCTCGTGGTGTCTAATTCTCACCCACCTTCATGGTTTTGACCCCATCCTCTCTTGTCTGCTTGGGACCTTGCTCCAGCAATCACCATTTCTAACTTCTCCATCTTTAAATTTTCATGTTCCCCTTGGCATGGAAACATACTTATCTCCCACCTTTAAAAAAAAAAAAAAAAAAAAAAAACTCAGTTTGCACTTTGTGTTGTAAATCAGTCTCATCATTGATATGTTTTTTTCACCCTGATTGCACTTCTTGATGATTTTGGTTTTTATTAATCACATGTATTTCTGTAAACTATCTTAAATTCTTTAGGAAACAGGTCTGAGTATAAGAATATGCAAATATTCATACATCCTCCTGGTGGCGTAGAGGTTAAGAGTTCGGCTGCTAACCAAAAGGTCCGCAATTCAAATCCACCGGGCGCTCCTTGGAAACCCTGTGGGGCAGTTATACTCTGTCCTATAGGATCACTATGAGTTGGAGCCAACTCAAAGGCAATGGGTAACAGGCATCATATCTTAACTTGTTCTGTATCCAGCAAAGTTCCAAATGAAAGTCTGAGGATTGAGTGAACAAATGAATGCCTTAATTTGTTAGCTAACATTCAATTAAAACAACAAATTTAAGTGAGATTTTTGTTCTAGGCTTGACTCTACTAAAACTGTTTTGGATTCAAACATCTCGATTTATCTAATCTCCCTGGTATCCTGTTCTCTTTGATACCCAAATCTGGAACAACTGTTGCTCCAGAGGAGGAAGGTGGTGTATGTGTAGTTGGAAACCAGTAAACAAGCAGCAGGATTGTGATATAAACTGTATTATCAATTTCACTTACAAGAATTGCAACAAGATTCAAATCTTGAGGTTAATGCTTCACCTTTATTTTGCCAAAAATATTGTATGTGTTTTTCAAACCAGTTCTTTTAAGACAAACTGCAAA